TTTTTTTTTTTTTTTTTTTTTTTGCATAACAAGAGAGAGGGTGAAAGACTGAATTTTATGATGTATGTATCAGTATGTGCATATTTGACTGATTATTTTGATGCTGATGTACAGCATTTTTTGGAACTAGTGACACTGAATCTTCTGGTAGGTCCTTTTGTGAGTGTAGGATGCAAGCTCAGCTAGTCAGGTGTTGCTGTCATTTAGTCTCATCTAGCCAGGTTATTGCAACTTATTGAACTGTTATGGCTTGTTTTGTGAAGCAAAAGTTTCAACTGTATCTTGGAATTGAAAGAGGCTTTTGCTAGTTTTGACACCAACAGTCACGTCTTCACTTTGGACCCAAAGGAATTCCCTTGAAACGAACCCAGCTGGCTTAGTAGATGCTGCAGTTACCTTTCTCTCTGGCACAATTCTTTGCATAAGAATCAGGATCCTTGATGTTGACACCAACCATAAGTGATCTGGGAACACTGAGAATTCCTCTTACAGGTGGCTGAAACCTCAGGTTCTCAGTGTGACTCCAGCTGGTTTTAGACAGCACCTATTTGAGTCCTTACCAATCTGACTTTCCTATTTTTATACACCATTTTGATGGGTGTTAATTCAACTAGAAAATAGTGATAGATGGGCTTGGAGGTTTGGCTTTGGATGTTTCTGATCGGTAATATTAAAAAGGATTAAATACTTTTGTTCAGGAAAGCAGTAGTGATTTTTGAGTTATAACTGGCCAGAATTGAGAAGATAACAAGACTGGTTTTTGGTTTGTTTTTTTTCGTAGTTGGCATGGCAGAAGCAGATAGTTCCTCTCAGGATGCATTAGGTCTCAGCAAGCTTGGAGGTCAGGCAGAAAAAAACAGGAAAATGCAGAAAAAGTAAGTTATCGAATATTTTCAATCCTCTGTTGTTAAGATACTGCTTTGTTTAAAAAGGCTTTGTTTTCCTTTTTGTTTTGTTTGTTTTCAGGTGTTTTTGCCTAGTGTGGTGTTATGGCTAATAAGTCTCTGTAGAATTTTTTTTTTTGCTATTGTTTTTTCCAGAACATTAATAGTAGCATAGGTCGTGGTAAGTTTGAAATGAATTTCAGTGCTGAAAGCTTATTGTTGAAATGCTGTAATAAACAAACTTGGAGATAAAAGTGGACTCTTATCAAACATTCCCCCAGATTTGTTATATTTAATACCTGCTTTGGGTTTAATTCATTGGGAAGATTTCCCAAAGTTGTCTTTGGCTGTTACTTGCTCCAGAGTGTGAAAGAGTTGACAGAGTGAAGGCGTGAGATGTTCTGTACAGATGTCCTTCTGTATGCATTTGCTGGTTCCTTTCTAGCAGGTGACTCTGAAAGTCTTTCCTTTTGTGTTGCTAACTGCTACTGTGTTGACTATTTTTTTTTTTTTACTTCTGTTTGTCTTGACTCTATCATATATTTTAACAGCTAAAATCTTTTTTCTTTGCGCCATATAGCCCTGATTTCCTGTTTTTTTAATAATTTCTGACTATTTCCTTTTTTGTGGCACCTTTTAGATAAGCAGTTACCTTGTCCTAGTCATGAGAATTTTTTCAGTGTGTGTCCAAGACAATCTTTAGTTTAATGTTCACCTTTTGAGTATCTATTGAATGCTTTGTTGTTCCCAGGCTTAGAAGAGATGAAGCAAAGACTATAATCATAGGTGAACAATAGATATTGCTACTAGTAGAAATCTTGGCTTGATGCTTATATGGTAATACAGGAAACACTTACATTTGTGTAAGTAGGATCAGGCATTCTTTGCATTTTTCCACCCAAAGCTGAGCCATATACCTTGAACTTTTGTTGCTTCTGTTCTGTTCAGCTGTCTTTACTCTGTGTCAAAAAAGCTGACCAAGATCAGACCTGTCTTGCTTTTTTACTTCTGAAGACAGAATAGTGAATGTTGAAAAGAAAGCGTGCTTATTTTCTCCTTGCGAGAGAGATTTCTTGCAGTACCTAAGTTCTGTTAACAAATAAGAATAATGCCTGGTGACTGCTAATGAAAAGCAGCAGTGTGTTGGTTTGAAAAGTCAGAATGGAATGTGGTTTTGTTTGTATAACAGAATGCTCAGCTGTTTTTCTTCAAACTGTTACACTGAAGGCAATCGTACATTATTATGATCTGGTATTTTCCCTTTTCTACAGGGCTTTAAAGTCATACTACATCTTGTTTGGATAAATAGTTTTAGTCTGGTCATATCTAAATAGTGGTAGGCCTGTTCTTTGAACAATATAGGTCTCTCTCAATACCAGCAACAAATTTCATTCTAGAGTAAAACAATCTATACTGTCTTGCTTTAATAAATGCAAAAAAAGAGGTTGCAGATAAATCAGGACTTTTCTTTGTCAACATTCTGCCTTTCAAAAATGTACTGGTATTACTTAAAGTATACCTCATGGCTGCATGTTGTTGGTTGCTTTAAAAGGCAAGTGTCTATATTAGACAAATGAAAACTTTTAGTTTGAAATTGCCTTGCCTACCTACTAAATTTGGGTACGTGCTTATTCACAGGAAGATATATATGATTCAGATATTTCAGTGGAAGTGGGTATGAAACAAGACTGTGTTGATGAAGATATGTATCATAACGTTTAGTTTTGTTACTCTTAACTGCTGAGAGCGGCAACCGCAGCAGGGCCCTTTGAACTTCCATGAGAAGCAAATCACCATTTTAAAAATCCCAGCAATGTAGTTTAATCCAGCTGTTTCAGAATCCTGACAGGTATTCTGAACATAGGCAGCAATGTTATCATAAAGTGTCAAAGATCCCTTGCTGCATTCTTGAGATGTTCATTATAAAAAAGAAAAAGCGGTAAAGCTGCTCTGAATTGCTTTTCGCTTTGATATTGGAGGAGGGTGGGCTTAAAACAAATTCGTGAGGCTGACTGTTCACTTATAAAATCCTGCGTTCAGCGAAAAGAATTCCAGTTACCTGAATGCTTGGAACAATGACAGCTAGTTCTATTTATAGTTGTCTCTAATCCCTATTTGCTTGCTTATCTTCCTGATTTCTGCATGCATGCGCACAAACAGACCGAGGGCCGTATTCGATGTCTTCACTAACAAAACCCTATTTATAGTTACAGAATTAAATTACAGGATATGTTATTTGTCTGTTTTTGTATGCCTTTGAGTTCAGTTTAATCCTAGTTTTATATTTTTCCCTCATTGTTTTATTTTCCTTTTGTTTACCATTTGATGTGGTAGTGCAAAATCAGGGTAAGTTTATATTTATTTTATTAGGATTGTTGTGAAATTATGATAACTCTCATTTGGATTTTTTGGCAATATATTAAAAGCTCTAACTTCTTTCAAAAAAGTCTAATTATAAGAGGAGATACTAGGTACAAAAGAATTTATTGTGAAAATGTGTTGCTGAAATAAATCCAGTGTTGTCTAGTTCACTGTGAATGCTAGTTCAATGTCTTGTCTTAATTTGCATGGTGTGAATTTTTATAATGGAAATATTAAACCCTACTTAGATGGTATTAGTTTTGTAATTTGGGTTTTGAAAGTTGTTCAGCAATAGTAGATGTTTGTGGCAATTCATTTCCAAGGTAGATATGTTTCTGTAAACCCTCGCTCTTTGTTTACTGAATTTAAGTTGGCTTTAGTGTTTTGTTCATGCTGTTTATCTTCTTTGTGAGTTGTACTGTTGACAGTGTTTGCCACAATTATATTTGTGCTTTTCTGTGTACAACGCAACAAACTGAATACTGTATTAATCAAAAAGGAAGGCAACCCTAAATTTAAGATAACTCTCCTTAAAAAAAGTTACACACAAAGCTTATTACACACCTGAAATCAATATACGATAAGGATATTAACTTCCCACTGATGCTCTGCCTGGAATCAGTCTATTTTCATCTCATGTTTTGCTATTGTTGCCGTTCAGTTTTACATCTGGCAACTCTGTCATTTCCAGCAGTATCCCGCTCTTCATTTTTTCTCTCTTCTAAACTTCTTCCAAGTCAGTTATCTTCAGTTGCATCCAAGAAATCTGGAATGCAGCATTCCCCCTTTGGCTACAAGTTCTGGATTTATCCATTCCCATGCTGTCTTAATACAAGGACAAAGTGGTGTTGCACGGGGCTGCTTTATTTTCCTTGTGGGGTTAGGGTATGCTTGCCTGCCAAGAGCCATTCTAAATACAAATACTTCAAATGTTTTTTAAAGGGCCTTGTGTGTTCACTACTATATCAAGCACCTGCAGTTTTGACATCATTTCTCATCCCATATGACCACAGTTTCTTTGTTCTCCACAGCTGGTGTTAGATGCCTTTTGACTGTGTCTAATGACAAGTGTTCCCCTCTTGCAGCAGCACATTTGGTCTCCTGTTGCCAGTGACGTTCAGCCAACTTTTTATTAAGTCTGTAGGCACCTATCCCTTGTTTTTTATCACCTAAGAGTTATTCCAGTAGCCAGCTATTCCTTTGACATTCTTTTATCCTTCATGGTGCCAGCTTTATGCCGTCTGTTAACACTGCCAACACTACTGCAATATTCTTTTGTTTTTCCTTACAAAGATATGAAGCTGGATTTTGCACCCACTTCTTAAATGGTGTAATTGGATGGCCTGTGAAACTAAACTGGCATGTCAGCTGTGATCTTCATATAATCTGATCACGTGTTGCTGGAAGGCAGTGAGTTTCTTGGTGAAGTTGGAAGGGAATTGTTAGAAAAGTGAAGTTCCCCGCTATAGGGGAAAAAAACCATTGATGCATCATTTGCAGATAAAACAGCAGCTGCCTTTGAATTCTTCCCATGCCTGTGCTACGTCTTGAGCCTTGTGCCTGTGCTACGTCTTGAGCTTTCAGTTGAATGATTTCCCGTGCAAGCGAGTTTCTGTCTTTTCTTCCATGTGAACAAATTCCACAATTAATTTTCTACTTCATGGATGCGTTCCTCTTAGGATCCATTGAATAATTTCTGCATGAAGTTATCTCATAAACATTTTTGGTTTTGTTTTTTTCTATTTCTACATGTTTGCCTCCATCATATAACACTTCCTTCCAGCCACACAATGGTTTTCTGCATACAATACCACCATGAGTTTAAAGTTTGCATCATAACCTCTCCTTACGCTTTTGATACATTCCCTGTACTGCTCATGTCCAAGTGATTTGCTTTTTCGTGGTTAACTTGAAGTATGCAGGGAGACTTAGAAACCTAGCAGAAATTACACTGCAGTTTTCTGAATTACGTACAATACCCCAAGCAGCTTTATAAGCGGGGGGAGGCAGTGATTACATGCTCTTGTGGGGTCATCCTAGTTAAACCTCAGGCTGCTTTGGGCATGTCTGTGCTCTTTCATCGCTTGTGGGCCTCCCTCACTGCACGGTCATGTTACCACAACCACCGAAAAGGAAGACAAAGACACCGATTTTGAAGTTAAACTACTTGGAAAAAAACATTGTATTCCTTTCTGGAAAATACAGTATTAAGCATTTTATTCTGTTCTTACCAAGCAGTATTTTATAATATGTTATTAATTTATTTCCTCATTTTTTTTAATGCTTAAACAACAAAGTGAAGCAAAACTGAATGTGTTCAGGGCTAGTGATTTGTGGGATTAACGTAACGTGTTCCGTGGTAGCAGGAAAATAGCTGATCCTTTATTCCTAATTTAGAAATACACGTATCTTTTTGAAGAGTACAAATATATATTAACTTTTACGGTCTTCCCTTCTTTGTTAGTGAAATCTAGCTGTTGAGCTGCTAACGGCTGAACGCTATTTCCACCTTAATTGTTGGGTCTTAAAATGAGTACATTAGAATGGTTATTTGTAACCAGTTACCTGGCAGTTCCTGCCTTCCTCCTCTTTTTTCATTCCTAGGCAGCACATTTAATTAGGATAAAGGATCGGGAGGTTCTTCTAGAATAATAGGAATTTATTGACATGCAGGTGGAGAAGTACTATCTATTGATAAAACAGCTGCTAGTATATTTATTACCTCATTCATTACTTTTTATGTTTAGTTATCTACCAATATAACATGAGGATCCTAGGTATGCTGGCATGTCTGAAAGAGCTGCATACTGCATGTCTGTTTTGCATTACTAGCAAAGCAAGCTACTAGTCTGTCAGTAACCCCTTTTCAAGATGTCTTGTGTGGTAGTTTTTTTAATATCTGTAGCTTTTAAATATTTTATCATCGCAGATGTATTTAACGATCCAATTCTGAAGGTGAGGAGACTGTTTGTTTTAAATTATGACTAAATTATAAATACGTAACGTAGGATCCTGAATCTGTAGTATTGCTGCTTGTCTTCTTAATTCTACAGTTGCAGGCATGAATAAAAAGCATAAAACAGTAAAAAGTGTCCAATGAGGTGACGTTGTTTTTTCTAAACTTCTGAGGAGAGTGAGTGGAGACTTAACCATATACAACTAGCTTTCAAAGGCAGCTTAAATATGCCTTTTTCAGACTTTACCCGTTTTTGCGGACAGACGTATCCAAGCAACATTGCATGCTAATACCCATAACACTAGTTTTTTTCCCTTGGTTTATCAAACATTTTTGGCAGCAATTTATAGGGATCTTGTGAGCTTCCATTGTTTCTGTAAGCTGAATTGTCAATATTAAACTTCAGTCTCTTCTGTTTCAGAATAACAAAGGAAATGGTGTCATCATAGGAGATGAAAGCTGAATTTCAGTACACAGCCTTTCAGAATATAATTGCCAAAGCGTGGCGCTCCGAATATAATGCTTGTCTGAAGCTGTGCCCGAAATTCTGACAGGCTTGCTGTTGCAGACTGAAATTCACCAATTAAATGGTTACTGGCCAGTTTCCAGTCTTGACAGCCTGATGGACAGTACCGTTTCGATGGCATGGGTATCTGATGTACTCATACACTTCCACAGGTTTCAAATCTGCATGTTGAGGAAAAATGACTATTTTGGTTCAGTCTAATTTGCTGAACAGAAAATTGCAGCAATTGAGAATCTGACTGACAAATAAGTCTGACATCTCCACTTTGTGTTGGCAGCGTTGGTTAGAGCGTCAGTAGCGGTTTCAGACACAAATTTCCGAAAGGCAAGACCCAGCATCTCTGCCACTCTGAAATTTCCTATCCAGTTCAGCTTATGTCACTATGTAGTCCTTGTACGTGTGCTGTGGCTGCCTTAGTATGTATATCATATAAGGCTGAGAAAGGAAGAAAGCTAACTATTGGAAAGAAGACAGTAAAATGAATGCAGTGTTTAAATTGTAACAGCTAGTTATAACCAGTTTCTCTTTGTTATTAATAACTATTTCTGTAATTGTAGGCATGAGTTGCTTGAGGAAGCCAGAAGACAAGGTTTACCTTTTGCACAGTGGGATGGGCCTACTGTGGTTGTGTGGTTGGAGGTAAGTGGTCCTTCCAAAATAAATAAAAAATAAAAACCTCAATGTACAGACGTCTAAAGAATTTAAGGTTTTGGAGCCAGGAATGTTTTCCAGATTCTGCTTACTTCCTTTTTTTGTGTTTCAGCTGTGGGTTGGGATGCCAGCCTGGTATGTGGCTGCTTGCCGAGCAAATGTGAAAAGCGGTGCTATCATGTCAGCCTTGTCTGATACAGAAATACAGCGTGAAATTGGAATTAGTAATCCTCTGCACAGACTGAAGCTGAGGCTGGCCATTCAAGAAATCATGTCCCTAACAAGTCCATCTGCCCCTCCCACCTCAAGGACGGTAAGGAAAGTGTTCCGGCAATAAACATCTTTTAGAACCATTAGAATTTCCAAAAATTCTGCCATAAACATGTAACTGAAAGGATTTGAGCGTCAAATAAAAATTTCCGGAAACATGAAATTGTAGAGAAACACATTATTTAAATATAGGATGTTTCTTCCTTTCATGGAAAATAAATGAAGGAATAACTACATTTTATTTCTTAAGGGAAA